TAGGGAGCCTTCGAGGACAGACCCGGAAGACTGGGAGAGGAGCCCGCATGAAGGCTTACGGAGCATGTGTTTTCGCTGTTTCTCATGCTGACGGTATTGCACATACCTCGCTCATCACTGAAAAGTCAAGAGTGGTACCAACAAAAACAGCCACTCTCCCAAGATTAGAATTTTGTGCTGCGCTTCTGCTGGCAGAATTGTCAATACTCGCTGTCAATCGACGAAACGTGCACTACTGGAGTCTGACCCCACGATCGCGTTGTCGTGGATACGAGGCGAGCCTTCACGTTGGACTGCATTTGCGGAAAATAGGGTAGCTTCAACAGCTCATGTATCATCAACCGAAAACCCTGCTGGTTTGGTATCGCGGGGAGAGAAGGTGCAGGATCTCGTTGGAAATAATTGTGGTTTCTCGGCCCCCAAGTCATCCACCTCCAAGAATACCACTGGCATCATCGGGGAACACAAATTCGTCAACAATTATCTTAAACCCCTGCGCATTTTCGCTTACGCTAAACGCTTCATCGACAAACTTCGAAATATACCAACCGATTGTGGTACAATCACAGCACCTGAACTAGTTGACACCCAGCTATTGATTCTTCGTTATATTTAGCAAAAATCCTTCACTCCCGAATACAAGGCGTTGCAGAAAGGCAAGGTAGGAAACCAATCCACCTTAAATCAATTTTCGCCTTTCCTCCATAACAGCATAATTCGTGTTGGGGGCAGACTCAAATGCGTCACTGCCATTCTACACCAAGCACCCTATTTTGTTACCGAAGTCACACCCCTTCGTCCGCACTTTGATTGACCACTTACACCGCCGCCATTCGCACGCTGGGTGCCAAACGCTGCTTAGCATTATGCGTGATAAGTTTTGGATAGTCAACGCTCGAAGCATAATAAAGCAAGTAATTCATCGTTGCCTCATGTGTTACCGCAACAAGCCACTTCTTCAAGAGCAAATTATGGGATCACTGCCTCGCGAGAGAGTTGAGTCTTCTCACCCATCTGCGGTAACCGGAATCGACTACTGTGGGCCTTTCTTGATTACACAGCAAATACGAGGAAAGGGCTCCGATCAAGGTGTATCTTTCTGTGTTTATTGGCTTCACCACGAAAGCAGTGCATTTAGAGCTGGTTCCTGATGTGACAACGATGTGTTTCATAGCAGCCCTCAAGCAGTTCATAGCTCGTTGTGGTATATAATAATAATAATAGATTGGCACATATGTGGCGTGCGCCTTGATGCGGAGGGATCTACAGTTTTACGCCGACTCCGAACGGCGATTGTATTTTTATGAGAAGCTGTTTTTCATGGCAGAAATACACTCGCAGGTTTGCCATTGCCTGCCAAGCGATGTTGCTTTGACCAGGGCTTGAACCCAGGTGCTGAGGAGTGAAAGCGCGCACTGCCCTCCACTACAACACAGCGGCCGACAGCGTCGTGTATTTTGTAGGTGCCAATCGTGAACTTAAGGAAATGCTGGCTTCATTTAACCGTGGGAACAAACATTTTAAACTTTGATGAGCTGCATACGGTGTGCTTCCAAGTCGAAGCTATGATCAATAGCCGACCTCGTACTCCATTATCAAGCAATCCGTATGATCTTCGGAAATCGGTAGGAGTTTAACTACCATCCCGGAACCATCTCTGGGACATGTTCATATGGTAAAGCTAAAAAGGTTTCAAATAGTTCAAGCGATTAACAGCAGTTCTGAGTCCGATATTTGAAGGAGCTGCAAAGACGACAGAAATGGCGAACGCTGCGAGAAAACTTGAAACCTAACGATTTGGTACTCATAAGAGATGAAAATACCCCACCACTGAAATGGCCAATAGGGCATATTGTTCAAACTGTTTCCGGAGATGACGGAATGGTTCGTATTGTGTTAATAAAAACAGCAGTAACAGTAACTAAGGTGTGCAAGCTGCCAATCGAATCAACGGCTCAACATGGATAAAGTATTGAAAGCAAGGCTTTCAAGGGGGGAGGATGTTCAAGCATGAACGCTGATCCCAATCTGGACACCCTTTATCATCGCCACACTCTCCACTCATTCATCGTACACATCTTGCATCGTTGTCGTTGTCGCAGTCAAGATTCCATTCGCAAGCAATCTCACCTACTCAACTTTATTGAAGTCACTCATCGCAGACACACTCATTCGCATACACATGTGTACATATACCCACCAACTAATCATCGACGGATCCAATAGAAAATCAAGATCAACATCACGCCACCTGGGCGTAACAACAGCCACCCAGCATAACTGATATAGTTTCGCTAGCCATTAACTGTAGTGTTGAAAACCTACTTTTTTTGGTGCCTTCTTGACAAAAAAAAAAAAAACATTTTCCAGTTAAACAGTTACAGTTCACAACTTAGTGTATTCACATCATCATTGCGCATTATTAAATAAAGTGTGAAATCTAAATTAATTCGAGACTTAGCATTAAATAGCATAAAAAACGCTTTATACTATACTTTTAAAGTTTATTTTTTGCATATTTTCGGCCACTGAAATGTCTCCATTAATACTGCGTACCCAATTTTTTAAAATTAGTTAAACTTTTTTTTTGAATTTATGCCAAAAAAAAATGAATTCCAGACCATAGTGCATAGGGGACCCAAGAAGCGTGCAGCTTCGACAGGGTCTGTCCATAAGGACAGAGGCGTTAGTAGAGTGGGGTTCAGTAAGCATGCGAAGAGATGTGTCGAGTCATTGTGTGTCTCTCCGCATGTCGGGCACTCGTTTGGCACATCTGTGTTACTCTGTTCAGTTACGAGTGTAACCTCCTGCAGTAACCTCAGCTATGTGGTGTCGTACCCGTCTGATGGTTGTTTGCCCAGAACGGCATTCACAGGTCGAGAGTCTTTTTAACTCAAATAACTCGACACTGACTCCCTGTGAATTCCGTTTAAGGTCTGTCGGTATGCTGTCGGGTCCCAGAGGTTGCTTTATGAACCTCTCGACTTCGTCCGTCAGTTCGTATGGATGCCTTCTGACATGCGAGCAAGTGTCTGTTCCTACTAAGAATTACATTCAAAGCATTGTGTTATGCTCCTTAATTGGGAGCATATGAGCCTCGTCGTGCAGGTGATGTTGCGGCGACATCAGAAGGCATCCTGCCGCTGTCCGGAGTGCTGTATTTTGGCTGGTCTGCAGCTTCATCAACTGCGTCCTACTAATCTCCGGCGACCACACAGACGCTGCATAGTTCAGAACCGGCCGGCCAATTGCCCCAGCTGCTGCCGGCTAGCGACTTGAGGACCTTGTTGCGGCTTTGTACTTAATTGACAATTGCGGTTGTATGCGCCGAGAAGGAGAGCAGACTATCGAAGGTTACTCTGAGGATTTTCGGGTTATTCACCGTCGGATTGGTTCGTCATCGCACGTCAATACCCAGCTGCAGTCAGAACTCTTTTGTCCAGGAGGTGAAAAGTGCTGCTGAGGATTTTGTGGGGGAGAGGATTAGACTCCGTGCAGTGAAGAAGCGAGAAAGCTCGGATAGATAACCGTTTACTTTCGAGCACAAGTCATCAATTCCATTCCCAGACGCCATGATCGAGCAATCGTCGGCGTAAGAGACAATCGAGACCCTCTGGTGGTTAAGGGAGCTTTGAAATACAAAAGTTAAGCAGCATAAGCTCCACTTGTCTCTGACGAGTGTCGACCACTCAGATAGTTCGCCGACCACCGTTTGAGTTCCTGTGGGATAGAGGAGGCTAATATGTCTTCTAGTAGCCTGGAGAGATTGAATGTGTCAAACGCCTTGGACAAGTCCAACGATACTAAAATTGTTCTCTCACAGGGGCGGTTTAGGTTAAGGGTGTTTATGGTGTTAAGTGCTGTTGTTGTGCTGTGCACATTAGGCTGGTTCGATTTTGTATGGCTGAAAATAAAAGGCATTTGAACGTATTGTAATAGTAATATTATGATGTCTTAGGTCTAAGCCAATGGTTATTGGCCACGAAAGATTAATTTAAAACTTATCTT